CGGGCTCGGCGCGCGCGGGCCATGTCCGCCTTCTGCCTGGGCTTGGCCGGCCGCGCTTCAGCACCCGCCGAGCCGGACAGCGCCTGCTGCATGGAGCTGCCGGCCGCGGCCGGGGACGCACTCGCCAGTCCAAACGCCGCCGCCGCCCTCGTCTCCTTCCCCGGGGCCTCTGGGGAACTGGAACTGGCTTTAGAGGAGGAGCTGGCGCTGCTGGCGGCCGGGGAGCGGCCGTGCGACCCCGGGGAGCATCCCCACGCCGAGACCGACCCGCTGGCCGAGGGGGCCGGGCCGCAGTCGCCGCCCGCTCAGGATCCCGAACTGCTGTCGGTGATCCGGCAGAAGGAGAAGGACCTGGTGCTGGCGGCCCGGCTGGGCAAGGCGCTGCTCGAGAGGAACCAGGACATGAGCCGGCAGTACGAGCAGATGCATAAGGAGCTCACGGACAAGTTGGAGGTGAAGACCCCCTCCGCCCGGGATGGGTGGGAGGCAGGGGAAGCCCAGGCACCGGCCTGGTCATGGGCAGCCTTTCCTGGCCCACCGTTTGCCTTGCAGCAAACCTCTTGGAAAGGGAATCGGGTGGGGGATCAAGGATGTCAGAACCTGGAAGCCACCTGACTGTGTGTTCCCTCCCCTCCCTTCGCCTGAACCGAGCAAGTGGGACCGTGCACGGCTGTGGCCGTTCTATATATGTACTGTACACAGTGTCTAAAATAGAGCTTACAGTATGACTAATTTATACGGCACCCAGATGAAGTCTGCACACGGGGAACGTGAGACAAGTCGGGGAGCATTTAAAATATGCACCGGGCCTCCCCCCAGAAGTAGTTAATCTCTAATCAGGGTGTTAGCCTTTCCATTTTGGCCTTTTGGGGCCCCGCAGATGCCCTTGTCCTGGCAGCTCAGAGTTGTGGGAACCCAGTGCCCCTCGAGGAGCTTTATATAGCCTTCAAATACTCGGGGATTAGGAAGCGTGGTTGCAGGGCAGCAGTCATGCGAGCCTACGTGCCAGGGAGGGCTCAACATGTGACCCTTGCTAGTGGCTTTAATTTAGGCCCCGGGAGTTAATGTATATTTAGCCACGCGGCCCGCATTTCTGCCGCTGAATGGTCAGAGGCAACATTCGAGGACCAAATGGCATTTCTTTTAACTGCTGTTAAAAGTACTCCTTATAGTCTCTGTAATTATGCATGCTAACTCTTGGGACCACAGCTTTCTGATCTGGGCCCGTTTGTTTTCTTCCTCTTAACTAGGAAAGGATCCTGAATGTGGTACAGACTGCCAGCATTTCTAAAAATTAGAAAGACTTGCCAAAAAGCAGGGGTTACCGGGCATCTGAGGCAGGGGAGACACTCCTCCATCAGGCCCGTGCTAAATTGACCGTTGATTCCCACTGTGCTTGTGACCAGTTTCATTACATTCTTAGTGACAAGAGAAGAGCCTAGTAGCAATCCTGAATAAAAAGGCCTGAAATTGATCCTGGTCAGATTCCCTATCACTGCTACAGGTTGCCCAGTCGGAATGCAGATTCAGAAACTTTTCCATAATAATGTTTGAGCGTCCCTGGAGTCCCACGACTACATATCAGAAGTAAATCAGGGGAGTGGGGGAATAAAAGGAAACCAGTGGTGCTCTGTAGTTCATCTGGCCTGCTTAACTACGTTTGCCAGCCGATGAACTCCCGAGATCCTGAGATATGCCTCTGAAAGGTGGTTTGTGAAAAGTACGGGTAGACTGCCAAAAAAAAGCAAAGCAACCTGGTGAATTGAATTGTTTCATTTTCACTTGAAGTAGAGGTCTGGAAATAAAAGGGCGTCTTTTGTTTTGTGGGGTTTTTTTTTAATTGAAAAGATTCAGTTACATGACTCTCTAAAGAAGTACTACTGAAGAGATTTGTACTTGTGATTTCAAATTCTTTCGGTGAGAGACTTGAAAGGAACATCATATCAGTTAGTTTGAGTTAGTGATAGATTTCATAGTAATCCTGAGGGTACAGCGACAAACAGCCTGGGTTCCATGTGGAGCCTTTTATATGTCTCTTCAACAAAGGCAAAAAGACTTCAAAAATCTACTCTAACCAGAAAATATCTATTGGAAAAGCATAAATTACTTTTAGCTTTTTTATTATTGACTTGGTCAATAATAATAAAATAGCTTCAAGCTCAAACTCTTCACTCTTCTGCAGATCAGAATCCATACTCTAATGTTTAAAATTTAAAACATTTTTTAAAAACAATATTAATAACTGAAATGAGTCATGGGGTATATGAGGATTCATTTCTATTACTCCCTCGAGGATATGTTTGAAATTTATCTTGATCTTGTAAATGTGTCTGTTGTGAAATAGAACGCTATAGCCATTGATTACTTATGGAGCCTTAACCGTGCTAGTCGGAGAATGACCAGCTTGTTTAACCTGAGATGCTCTTCATTTGATGCTTGTGATTAAATTTCCCCCCCACAGTCTATTTCCTGAGAAGCTAGATTTTAGAATGTCTGCTTAGACAAACTGCCCATTCAGTTATATTGTACATTTTAGGGTAGGGAAACAGCCCTTAATTTACCGAAGAATTGCCAATTTCCCACTCGCTAGAGTGAAACACATTTTCCACAGGTTGATTTTAAAGTTAAAGCATCTATGAGTAGATTCTGAGAAAGCAGTGGGGTTTGACCATAAAATAATCCAAGTGTTTTTTTAAATAAATTAATTTATTTATTTTTCATTTCAATGAACATCTACAGAGATTTTGGAATTCCATTCAGTCATTGTTGCACCCCTCTCCCAACCCAAGTGCTTTTATGTGTTACTTTACTTTGTTTTGAAATTAGCACCTTTTTAACTTCAAGGCAATAAAGTGTTGTCAAGATCTTTTCTATGTACTCATCCATTAATATTGAGTATCTCTCCAGAGCTGCATGCTGCATCCAAAATTCTTTTGTCATTGAAAACACAAAGCACTTGACACAGTATCACACTCTCATTAAAGGTATATATTCTCTCTCAAAAGACTTTACTATTCTAAGGAGTTAAAAAGTTTTTTAGCTATAATCTCTCAGGGATGTATATTCTACTTTAAAAGCTATTGTTGGACCATTTTCCCTACCTTTGCTCTTTTGTTAAATATACTGTATTTTGTGATTCATGTACTAAACAGATTTGTTTATACCTCAAAATATTTATAGTCTGCATCTATAATTAGCCTTTTTCTTTTAAGACTTGTATGAAGCTAGGTAATAAACTAGAACATATACTAGAGAGAATAACTTGAATTTTACAGGTTTTTTTTCTTCAGGATTTAATCTCTTTTTTTTCCTTGTTGCAACTTAGAGTGACTTGCCTTTTACTGCAGACATTGTGTCTTTAAAATACATTTAACATTGTGTGTGTGTATGTATAGAAACACTCTCACATAGTCACTGAAAGTGCAGTCTTTTTTTCCCTGCTTATATTTTCTTCCCCCTTCCCAAGGATTCCTGATAGTGTAGTGGATAATGCACATCACCCTTCTTAACGGAAAGGTCAGTGGTTCCGTGGTTCCGTTCTACTAGCTTTGAGAAACGTGGCTGTCTCCTCTTGTAAAGATTTACAGCCTCAGAAACCTGATGGAATATCACTGTAAGAGTTTTGGGTTTTGTTCCCCACACCAATTCTTACTTTTCTAACCACCTCCGGTTTTGTTGTTTTTTTAAGAGGGGGGAAAAAATTACAACTGATAAAAGCTAAAACCTAATGGGAGGAGCTGGTATATTTAGGGAAACCAAAGTCTAAATTTCTATTTAGTGCTTATTGGTTTTGTTATTCACCATTAAGTCAGAATTGACCCAGAGCTGAACCTCCAGCAGGTTTTCAGAGATAGTATATAGCATGTGGGAGAGGAGACTATCTTTCTCCCTAAGAGCAGCTGGTGGATTTGAACTGCGTGCCTTTGGGTTGACAGTGCAACTCCTTATCACTAGACCACCTAGTCCACTTAACAATAACTATTTCCTTTGTGCTTTCAGATATCACAATGCTTTTGTTGTTGTGTTATTTTGCAGAATAGAATTTCTCTATGTACCTATCTTACATAAAGCTAATGATAATAACTTTTTTGGGGGGTTGTGTTTTAGAAAAGCCTTCATGCTTTCTTTTACAACGATTTTATATTTACAGAGACATTTTTAAAAGAGTTCAAGTTCTTTTAGGACCCAGACTGAATTTTCCCTCTTAACAGCTTCCATAATTGGGATACATTGCTGCAGTTAGTTCATGAACAAGTATTACTGCATTTTTATTAATTAAGATAAATTAAAACAAACCCGTCCTAATCAGTTGCTGCTGAGTCAGATCCTACTTATGATGACCCTGTGTGTGTCAGAGCAGAACTGTATTCCATAGAGAGGATTTTCAATGACTGATATTCCCCCCTTTTTAAAAAATTATTATTTGAATGAATTTACAGAGCAAATTTCTCTGTTCAGTCATTCCTCCGCGTTTTGTTTTATGACATTCGTTACAGTGTAAGTGCTCTTCCTTCTGTCTCCCTGTGACTCTCATTTCCATTAATCCTTGTATCCTACCCCTTCCTGCCTTCTGAGCTTTATCCCTGAGCAGATGCTGGCCTCCTAGTCTTGTAGAGTTCATTCTAAGGGAAGAGTACCTTCTTGGTGTTACCTTGTAAGCCTGTCTTTTTTGTTCAGGTCAAAATGGAGCCACAGGAGTGAGTTTTACTCTGTTTGAAGGACCATAGTTTCAAGAGTCTTACCAATCTCTTCTTTTTTATTTGTATATTTGATTTTATATTGGTTTACATGCAAAATTTGTATACATTGTGTTTCACACATTACTTCATTCACAGGGTTTCCTACAGTCTGTCAGTCTCTTATCAAAGCGGTAAGCTTGGCCATGGTTTTTAGTTTGTTTCATGTTTTTCACCTACTGTGATCCCTTTTAGAACCGTCAGCAGTAGTAGCCAGGCACCATCTACTTCTGTCCTTTGTTGTTGTTGTGTATCACTGAGTCAGAACCAACCAACCCGTAGATCACCGGCTGGTGCATTTTCAGAGGCAGTTAAATCTCACAGGAGGAGATGGTCCATCCTTCTCTTGCAGAGCAGCTGGTGGATTCAAACTGCCTTCTGGATTGCAGTGCAGCTTCTTGCCTCTAGGCCGTCAGAGCTCCCTAGTTTTGTCCTTTCTACTAATTCTTTCTATCCATCTTTGCTTTCCCCCACCCCTTCTTTATCCTGAACAGAAAAACACCAATAGTTATATTTCAGATGATGGCTCACAGACTTTTAAAGACCCCAGTTCCTACTCACTCATTAGGATGTAGACTATGGTCTTGGTAGACTTTATCAGGAATGGCTGATTTCCCCCACCCCCACCCCAGAAGATTGCTAGGCCTTTCTTCCAAGGCACCCGAGAGTGTACTCAAGTCTTGTATTATTTGAAAGAAAGTTTATCAATTTGAAAAGCAAACTGGCTTTCCATTCAATCATTCATCCACATTTTTTATGATATCAATGTGTACTCTAATCTCTCTGTCCTCAAAGCACTTACTTAACCATTGGCACCACCCAAGCAAAATCCTCATCTTCCTTAGATTTCCTTAGCTTTTAGTTGTCTTTTTCTGTTCAGGATCTTATCCACAATACATTTCGTTTTCATGGTCCTTAGATTCCTCTTAACCATGACAGTTTCTCAGACATCATTTGTTGACCTTGACAGTTTTGATATGAGCATTTAAAAATACCAAAGGACCCCAAGAAAGAAAGTCTAGACCTTTGCCTTCCTCACTTCAGCCTAGACTTTGCTGATTAATTGAAAATTTCTTAGAGAAATTCTTCTTTTCCCAGGGTAGAAAAAAGGTTAAAATCTCTATGTTCATCTCTGTAAATGTTCATTAAAATTAATAAAATAAAATTTTTAAATTTTTTTTATATTGCACAACAACAAAATTCTCTGTGTTCATGAATAGCAATGTCTCAATTTTTTTTGGTGGTTGGGAAAGCCGAAATAGGAAGTTTATCTCATGTCCAGAGAACGGTAGGGTCACCACCTGTCCTCAGCCCCTGCCTGCTTCCCCAAGTGGACCGGATTGTTTTAGTTGCTTGGTTGACTGTTCACTAACAGCTGTTTGCTGAGTATTTTGAAGTCTGTTCTTTCAGAACACAGCCCAATTTATCTGGCCTCTCAGTAACACTGTGATTACTGAGCCCTTGCAGTTGCCTTCTGCTCAGTCCTTTCCTGTTCAGAGAAACCTTAACAAAAACCAGAAAAATCACAATTGTAGGATTGTACTAAGCATTTGTTTCTGTGTTCATCTTTCGGAAGTTTGTACCATCACTAATCTGCCCTTGTTTGGGGAAGGTGAGCAACATGAAGGTGGCAAAGAGCAGGAAAGGCTCAGCCTGTTAAGTAGAAGTCTGTCCCTCGCATTCCTTCGCCATGTTCTGTGTGTGTGTGTGTACCATCGAATCAGATCCGACTGGTACAGAGGAGATTGCCTCTCTTTCTCCACTGGAGTATCTGGTGGATTTGAACCACACACCTTTGGGACTGCAGCACAGCTTCTTGCCAATAGGCCACCAGAGCTCCCTAAATTAATTACCTTTTTTTTTTTTTTTTACTTGCTGTGTGCCGTCAAATGTCAAATCGGTTCCAACTGACACAGGAGGAGGAGACTGCCATTCCTTTTCAAGCAGAGCATCTGGTGAATTTGAACTGTGCACCTTAGGGATTGCAGTGCAGTTTCTTGCCACTAGGCCACCAGAGCTCCCTTACCCCACGTTCTTGAAACTGAGGCTGTAAAAAGTTTAATTGCAATGTGCCTTTGCAAGAAATACATCACCAGCGTGGCTATAAGCAAATGAGCTATCCCCTTGAAGGTGCTGCACTGTGTATTTATTTCAGATTATGCCTTTGCTCATGTTGTTGTTGTTGTTGTTGTTGTTTACCACTGAGTTGGAATCAACCCATAGCTGACCCTCCAGCAGGTTTTCAGAGGCAGTTAATCGCATTGGGAGCGGATTGTTCATCCTTTTCCCACAGAGCAGCTGGTGGCCTTGAACGACATGACTTTGGTATTATAGCACATCTTTTTGCCACCAGGCAACCAGATCTCCCCCCTTTGTTCATATTCATTTCGTGACTGGGGTGATGGGAGTAGGTGTGTCAGAGACAGTAAGATTGGCACAGGATAGAGCAGGGATTAGGGCTGTTGTAGGTAGAGTTGCTATGAGTCGCAGGCAACTCAGTGGCACATAACAACTCTTAAGGATCCATGGTGGATTCAAACTGCTTGCCCTTGGGTTGACAGCCTGACTCCTTACCCACTAGGCCACCAGAGTTCCTTGAGAATATAAGGTTAAAACTACATTTAGAAATTAATGTTAATACTTTATCTTGTGTAGAAATAATCTAGACTGCCAAGAATTTATTTATTCAACTTAATGTGTCCTGTTTTAGTAACTTCAAGGCTTTGTAAATGATATTGAGCTGTCATACTACAAATTGTGGTTGATCTAAATATTTATCATAATTAGGACTTGGTTTATTAAGCAGAAATTTAAAAAAAAATTTATAATCCTAAAAATACATCTTTTCAAGAATGGAAAATTTGATAGAATCAGAGTGTGAACAGTTGAGTATGGCCAGTGTAGCTGGTTAAAACAACCTCAGTGCTTGAGCTCAACCTTGAGGATACATCAGAATTTCCTGTAGAGCTTTCAAAAGTTAGTGCACACAGATGCTTAAGCCTCTTCCTTTCCTACCTGAATCACTGAAGAATTCCGGTCTAGATGGGTGTTATTTTGAAAAATTCTTCCAAAACTTCTGAAGGTACCAGCAGTTTGGGACCATTCCTTTATCTTTTACCTCACATACTCCTTCAGGTAGTGCCTTGGCTTTTGCACCCAAAAAAACCCATAAAACCCAAGCTCACTGTTGGTGGGTTGGTTCCAACTCATGGCAACCCGTCACTGGGTTTTCATGACTGTAAATCTCTGTGGATGTAGACTGCTCATCTTCCTCCTGCTGAGGGACTGGTGGACTCAAACTAGTGACCTGTAGCATCCTGGGCCAACACCTAATGCATGTGGCATCAGGGCTCCTTGGCATACTACATTGGATTCTTTACATACTTTAAAAAAAAAAAGTAAAACCTACTTATTTCTGAAAAGAGGCCACCATACTTACCTTGCTGAAACAAAAGATGTTCTCAAAAACATGTTCTTATTTCTTTAATCCAAAGGAACCCCTTCCTATTGAACTACTATTTGAAGCTATCTGTCCTTTTCCTGGATAGCATTTGTCTGTCTCACTCACTCTCACACACACATACACATACACACACACACACCCCTGAGTACTTATATCAGTCTTCCTTCCTTAGAAATAGTGCCAGGAAGACCGGCACCCTCAACTTTGTTCATCACTGTCCCCACAACAGTACCTAGCCCTTAGTTACCCAAGAATGTATGTGTGGAGTAAGGCTTAATGAGCTATCATGTAAACTAGGCCGAATCTAGACACATACCTTAATCGTTTTGAAATAACAGTCTTCTAAACACAACACATTTTGTGTTGTGATTTAGATCACTAAACAGAATCAAGAGACTTGGAAATCCCAGCTCTGCCACAAACTAGTATTGACCTTGAATGCGTAACCTCTCATTCTCTGTTGCCTTGTTTGTAAGAAGAGATTGCTAATTTAAAAAAGCATTCAAGTTCTTTCGTGGCTCTGAAAATTGTATGTTTCTAAGCACCTGTTACTATTGGCCTGGCAGAAAAGAGATGTTTCCAATAGAGGCCTCCTTAAAATAATAATGAGTATTTTGGTTATGGGACTCATTTTCAGCTGTTTAAATAGCCAGTTCATCCATTGATCTGATGACTTGCTCAATTTCAAGCAATTGAGTCTAAATGTGCATGCCCCGGGACCGGAATAAACATAGCACCATTAAATATTTTCAATAGACTTGGTGTTCTGTTTGTGAAACCGTTTCCTTCTCTGCTTGGGATAAAGGGAATATTTTTATAGCTGTGAATTGTCCTATGTGGCAGATGATTCCATTTGCTGACTAACCAGAGAAAAGAAAAGTCGAGTGTGTGAAGAAAGAAAAAAAGAGACAGCAGAATTTTTCTAACTATTTTTAACGTGTTTGCTTTTGTTTTGTTTTGTTTTGTTTCATCCAGCACTTAGAACAAGAGAAACACGAACTAAGACGACGATTTGAAAACCGGGAAGGGGAGTGGGAAGGGCGAGTGTCCGAGCTGGAAAGTGACGTGAGGCAGCTTCAGGATGAGCTGGAGAGGCAGCAAGTCCACCTTCGAGAAGCAGATCGAGAAAAAACACGGGCCGTGCAAGAACTGTCCGAACAGAACCAAAGGCTGCTGGATCAGCTCAGCAGGGTGAGTCATATGTTAAGAAGTTACAGTATAAAATTCTCAAAGTTGAAAAAGGGCTTCTGGGAAATAACTGTCACATGGTGACAACAGCACATCTGATCACTTTTGAGTTTGGTATCCATGAGCGAAGGACCTTCCATGTGAAAGAGCTTGCACAGTGCTAGACTGAAGTCTAGAACCAAGACCGAGCCTTAACACTAAGCGGTTATCAGGCTTTGACAAATCATCTAACTTAGGCGTTTTCATGTTTGTAAAACAGAGGAGTTGTGGTTCATGATCTGATAGTCCTTATAGTTCTCAAAGTCTCCATGATTCCTTTACCTAGAAAGTCTTGTCACTGGGAGAATTCTCTTACTGCCTTTAGTTCCCATGTTGAAAGGTGCCATCTTTAAACTGAAAAGTTAGGGGAAAATTTCTGGAGAGGGTGATTTTCACAGATGTTATGTTTGTGAATGTACAGTCTTTGATGTTAAATGTGATACGCTAGTGTGTCTTATATTTAAAGTTTGCTTAAAAAAAAACCCAACACATTAGGTAAAAACTTATGATGGTGTCATCAGAGTAGCAGTAAACCAAAGTCAAGAATATAACTTCATTGCGAAGAAAGAAGTTAAGAAATGAATAGATAGAAATCGAGTCTAAATGCAGAGCATAGGTTTTTTTTTTAATAAATGCAGGAATGTTGTTAATACCCTACTGTTGGAAATGAAGAGATAGATTTACTGTTGTACCTCAAACCTGCCCCTGCTAACTCTTTAGTTAACAGAGAAGAAGAACTTCTCCTCTATAATTTCTTCCGTAAAAGCTAAATGTTCTGAAGAAGACAGCCTATTCCATGGTTAATGCTTGATGCTGTATCTTTGAGAAAGTTTAGCTAGAGCAGCTTATGTTTAAAACAATGAGGAATTTCTCAAATACTCCAGAACATGCATGAGTCTAGAAGACATTATGAGGAGTGAAATAAGTCAGTCAGAAAAGGACAGATACCATTTAAGACTACTGCTGTGATAAGAATTTAAAGAAAGGTTTACACAAGAGCAAATGGTACTAGTGTGGTTACCAGCGAGGGGAAAAGGGAGTGGAAAATTCTTTAATAAACACTTGTTAAGACGGATAAAGTGAAAGACACTGCAGAAGAAATGGATGATCAAACGTTACGTGTATTGCAGTTGATGTTGTAGAACAAAATGTGCTTGATTGTACAAGACAATATGTATTGTAAACTTTGATATTTTTTTTTTAAAAAGTTTAATAAAACCCAAAACTCCTGGTTCTTCCAGTATTTGGTGGGTGACACAGACCCTCAGGGAGTTGGATTGGCACAGTGATTTTAGCAGTGGGCTTAGCACAGCAGAGATGTTGAGGATGGCACGATACTGGGTTTCCAGTAGTGGGACCCAGGGTTGGCCATGAGCCACCGTCTGCCCAACAACAACACATTAAGAACGTGTTCAGTCAGTTGTTGCATAGCTGTTTGCTGTGGGTCTGCTGAGGCGGGTGAAAACTTGCATGCTACATGAGTAAGTGTGAAGGCAACACTGGTTCTGGGAAAAGGGAGATGGTGGGGGGAGAGGAAATGATGCCAGAGATCTTGGAAAATACGCTAGTTGCAAGGAACAATCAGAACTTAGGTGAAAGATGAGAATTTGGGTGCCTGCCATTTCCCATCTAGGGAAGCAGTCACCTTACCCTTTTTACCTGGGAAGTGAGTTGGACAGTTGGTCAGGAAGTCATTTCACATTTCTCAGCAGCATTTCTGACCCCCTTCTAAAATCTTTTTTTTAGCAGCCGGGATTAAAAATGTCTATCTCTGAAAGATAATAAGGGTTTTTTAATATCTCATTACTTGTGAATGATTAAGCTAAACAGCTAGGCTAGATTAGCTTCCTTGCATAAACAAGTCTAATAAATACTCTGGGAAAAGGTTTCTTATGAAATGTAAATAATTAATACCACAAACCAGAACAATTAAAGGGAAGAGTTCAATTTCTTGGGGAAGTAGCAGGGAGCTCTGGTGGCACAGCAGACATAGCACGTTGTGCTGCTGATAACCGCAAAGCAAAACCCAGGAGTTCAAATCCACCAGTGGTTCTGTGGTAGAAAGACAGGGGTCTCTTCCTGTTCAGATTTACAGCCTCAGTGACCCCGTGGGGGGATGCCAGAGGGGGATTTGAAGTCTTTGTTGAATTTTGTCTGTGCTTCTCACTCACTAGGTAACCTTGTATGTGCCTAGCTTTCCGTTTCTTTAAAATAGGGGTAAAAATACCTCATCACAGTAACATACTGAAAGGAAAATGAGATACATTTAGTTCAGGAATAAATGACACTAATACTTGTTTCATTGTGGATGGTAATTTTTTTCTTTATAGTTGAAGTTCCTTTGGCTGATTCCTCTGTAGAAAAATCCTGATAAGTTGCTCCCAGAAGAATATAAGAGGATAGCATTTCCCTGAGATCTAGATTCTTGTTCTCCTCGCTGGCCTTGAATATGGGCCCTTGGTGAGCTTCCTGGCTTTTTCTCTTTCTCCATTTAAACAGGACAAGCCCCAGGGGTTTCCGTTCACAGCCAGTTTAGATTGCATTTTATTATCCTTTTATTAACTGACTATTTGGGAACTAGCAGTTGAGTACCTGGAGGTACTTAAGATTCTTCTAGGGCAAGATTGGAACCAGCAGGTAGTAAGAAGGTCTTCTATTTTATATGCAGTGTCTGTAATGTGTTTTAAGGATCATGACATGTATAATATCTAACATGTAACACCTCTGTGATGCTTACATCAAAGTATTTTTACCCTTGATGTTTCTTTGCTGTGGCCACTAAGATTCTTTTCCTTAAAATAAAAAACTACAGCTTTATTGATATATTATTCACATTCTGTGAAATCCAGGCTTTTGAGGTATATGTGAAAACCTATACTTGGACCAGGAGACAGTGATCAGAATAGAGCAAAGAACATGGTTCAAAATCAGAAAAGGGGTGTGTCAGGGATGTGTCTTGTCTTCATACCATTTCAATCTGTATGCAGAAAATATCATTCGAGAGACTGGACTTTATGAGAAGGAATGTGGCATCAGAATTAGAGAAAGACTCATAAACAGTCTGCATTATGTACATGACACTATCTTACTTGCTGACACTGAAGAGAACCTGAAGCATCTGCTGCAGATGGTCAAGGACTGCAGTTAACAGTATGGTTTGAAGCTCAGCATCAAGAAAATTAAGATTCTCACCACTGGGCCAATTGGTAGTATCGTGGTAGATGGAAAAAGAGATTGAGATTGTTAACAATTTTGGGTTACTCAGTTCCCCATTCAACACTTTTGGCACCAGTAGTCAGGAAATCAAAAGATGAATTGTTGCACTTATGTGTGGTCAACTCACTTGCAGCTTCTCATAGCGAGCCTGTGTACAACAGCTCTGAACCCTGCTCTATCCTGAGCCAACCTTATTGTCTCTGACACACCTACCCCCATTCCCCTAGTCACTGAGTCAGTCCATCTCATCTACGGTCTTAGGGAAATTTGCTGTCCGGGACTTCTCCAGAGTGCTCAAGAACAAGGATGTCAGTCTAGAGACTAAGGTGGGCCTGATCCAGGCCATGGTCTTTGAAATTAATTGCTGTGCATCAGAGAGCTGGAACAGTGACCAAGGATGACAGAAGAATTGATGCCTTTGAGTTGTGCTGGAGAAGAATATTAAACATACCATGGACCACCACATTCCTTCTCATAAATTCCAGGTAATTCAGTACCTTCCAATTCAGAGTGGGTTTGAATTTCTGTGCCTCAGTTTCAAGTGTTTCAGACAGCAGTTGAGATCACAGGTTATAAAGTCAGGTACCCTGAGATCAAACCCCAACTCTGCCTCTTACTAGCTGAACAACCATGACAAGTTATTTTGCCCTTTTAAGACAGTTCTTCCTACATGTCATAGAAACAATTATGTTGTTATTATTTCCTGGTAATACTATTTCATGTTATGGAGTCTTGAGTTTAGTGTTGTGGATACTAAATGTAATACTACATTTCTTCATAACCACATCATACAATAATAAATGCTGCTTCTTATTGTGTGCCATTGAGGGATGCAAGCTGCTTTAAGATACACCTGACCCAACCCCTGTTGTTGCTATGTACTTTTAAGTCAACACAAGTTCGAGTTCGGTCAGGTGTGTCTTAAGGCACTTCGCATCCCCTGGGGCACTGCTCTGCCTTGGGGATACCCTTATCCCAACTCACTGTTCATTTGCACAGAAAGCCCTCAGTTATCTTCAAGCTCCTGAGATTGTGTGATATATGTGTGTGTGTGTGTATGTGTGTGTGTGTCCCAAGCTGAGGTGTTCGGAGAAAGTGTAGCACACTTTCTAAATCAGAAAGGAGCCTCAGGATGCCATTGACAGTGGGGTTTAGTAAGACTTGGCAGACACCTGTCATCCTCAGTAACCTAGGCTACTGGAGTGATGAGAAGGATTGGGGTTTGAAGCCAGAACCAATATGATATGCTGATGGATGGTGGGTATGGAGTGGAAGTGAAGGGGAACATAATCAGAACGACTCATAGGTTTTTATAAATTGGTTCAGAGTCAATGGCAATGAGTTTTTATTTAGTTCATATGGAAGAACAAAGACCTAGAGGAGGAAGAGTTTTAAATATAAAATGAAATCATGCTTTTTGGACTGTAATGTTTGAGCTGCCTCCTATACATATGGCTGTGGTAGTTTCCCATAAATAGAGCAATGAGAATTCCATTGTGTTGAAGTCAAATATTGTCTTAACTTTCCCACAGTTATCCAAGACTCTGTTCCAGTTGCTTCTATGACATTGTCCCCCAAGAATGCATTCATTCAGAGTCCCTTCCCTCCGTGTTCCCTGCTTAATCTCACCATCCCTATTATGTTCAGCTTTATGAAAGAACCACTCTTCTATGGATTGTGTGTGGGGTGAGGAGAGGAGGAGGAATCTGATGTGAACAGAGTGTGTTATTTCTTGCCTACTTGAAGTT